ACCCACATCTGCTTATTTCGTTCTTTTTAGATATTTGACATGCAACGCCTTCTCAGTTTTTTTTTCTAATTTCATTTGGCCAAGTTGTATTGATTTGTTTTACTCATTTTGCATAGATAATATTCGCTTCGTTTTTTGTTGGTAGGAATTTATGTATATTAAGATGTTTCTCGAAGAGTGCAGCTTCTTTGGCTGATGGAGTGGACTTTGGTGTTTTACTATTTGTAGGAGAGGCTCATTGCTTTTGGTGGGTACGCTGTCAATCCGAGTATTGTAGTTTGTATAGTTAGTTCGTTGGCTAGACGTCGACCTCCTAAAGCTCTTTGTACATACAGCCTCTCAACATCTGATTTCGGGTGGTGCATCCTCATTTGGGTAAGCATTTTTCTGGTCTTGGCGTTTAACCTTTTAATGTCATTCAACTTGCATTTAATAATTGTGAAGCTGTATATTACTACACGTATAGCTAAGTTGTTGATAGCCTTGTTTTATTGGCCCCATTAAGTTCGCTTTCTAGTATCAAACGAACTCTTTAATATTCTTTTTGGGTCTTTTTCATCATAGTTGAATGCTGTATTGCATTTCCTTCGTTAATTCCTATGTATTTATATATACCATCTTGGTCTAGTTTCTTAATCTTGTTGATATCAAAGTCCAAATCCGTAGTTTTCGTTAATTTACCACCTTTGAAGATGGCTTTGGTACATGTATCGATTCCGAACACCATCCTGATGTCTTCGCTGAAGTTTTCAACAATGGTGAATTGGTTTTTCTGTTGGTTGTCATTCTTGCAAGCATTTTAAGATGATCGATATAGAATAGGTGATTCAGTTTGCCATTTTGTGACTTGTAACCGTAGCTTGTGGTTGTCACTAATGCAGTGTAAAAGAAAAATGGTGACAATGAATCTCCTTGGAAGATCCCGCTTTTGATGTTGATTGTTCTCTATGTTAATAACCCGTTTGTATGTTTTAGATTTTGTGTCGTCTTCCAGTTTTTCATGCTTTCTCTTATGAATTTGACCGTTGTGGAGTATATTGTTTATTTTTTTCGGCTTTTATTTATCCATGAGGGTGGAACACTGTCGAACGTCTGTTATTAAGCGTAAAAACACGAGGACAAAAGAAGTGGGAAATGCTTGTAAAATTAGGTATTATAATATGATTACGTTATTCAATCTCGAGATACGTAATGAAATACGGAACAACGAGAATTCTAGGACGGGGAGAATCATTTTTTTTCCTATAACGGCTGTAACAGCAAAATTGACCAAATCGTGTAACAGCAAAATTGTCCAAATCGTGTAACAACAAAATTGTTCAAATCGTGTAACAACAAAATTGTTCAAATCGTGTAACAGCATAATTGTCCATCTCACAAAATTTTTAATATCTAAAAAAACAAAAACAAAACAACAACAACAAAAGAAAAAAAACCACTAAACTAATTGAGTTTCTTTTTCTCAGGTTTCTGTGGTCGATCCATGCTATCGATAAGTTTCTTTTATTTCTTTTCACCACTTCAAATATTGTTTTATTGATAATTAGTTGGTCCGTGCACCGGTAACTTCCTCATTTACATCTCTTCTGTTCTGCTGCGAGTAAATTGTTTTTCTCAAGAAAGTTGTATGTCCTCTCGGTTATGATAGAATTGAGGATTTTGTATATTGTTGGTAGGCAGGTGATGAGCCCATAGTTCTTCGTGTTCTGCGTCTCTTCTGTTTTGTGGAGTAGGGATGTTACGCCCCACGTCAGCCATTTGGGATATTTTTCTGGGTTTATGAATTTTATCATTGTAAGCCTGTGCGAGTTCTTGATGGATGCTAGATAGGTTTTTTTATATCTAAAAATTGGCTATTCGGTTTATTCCTGGTGTTTTTCAGTTTTTGGTTTTGCAGATGGCAGCGGTTGTTTCTGTAATATTGTTATCAGCTCATTTTTAGCAGTCTACATGTGTGTGTTTTTCCTGTTGTTACTTGACCCATGTAGCTCTTTCTTTGTGCATTTTGCAGCTTTCCCATATCTTATACCAGAACTCTTCGACTTCTTGGGTATTATATATGATATCTTTAATTTTATTTTCTCCAGGTTCTCGATATGGTTTCTTGTCATCTTCTTTGAAGTAATATTTTGGAATTCATCTTAATCAATTTTCTACAGCAATCAAGATATTAATTCGGGAACTTGAAAGGATTAAAACTAAAATTGACATAATACGTCTAAATTATTTAACCAGATATGCTCTCTAAATACATACATACATACATATATATATATATATATATATATATATATATATATATATATATATAATAAAAAGGTTTAAACACTAATATTCCATGGTTATAATTTATTACATTGGAATCGTAATTACGATCCAATTCATCAGACCTACAAATCCAAAAAGAAATCAGAAAAAATAACTCCAGGAATAAAAAAAATAAAATTTAGTAAGAGTGTATGTATTAGAGTGGGGGGCGAATGTGAGAGGTAAATGGAAGCTCTAGAGGGGGGTAACAGACGAGAGAAGAACAGGAAAAGTGAAGGTGGGGATTAAAATTTAACGGAAAGAAATTTTAAAGAGAGGTTAAAAGACGGTTTAAAATAGTTAGAAACAGATAAATATGAATTATTTTCCGATGCATTATTCATTACTGAATCGCTGACCTAAATTAAATTAAAAACCGACACCGGAAATGGGTTTATACATTTGTGGTGACACTACGCACAATAAAATAGAATATTAGTGTTTAATCCTTTTTATTATATTCTTACTCTGTCCTGGACATTGAGTTCTACCAGGATTCTATCCTCTTGGAAACTTTTATATGTATATGTATGTTTTATGTATATATATATATATATATATATATATATATATATATATATATATATATATATGTGTGTGTGTGTGTGTCTGTGTGTGTTAACCATTAATATATATATATATATATATATATATATATAAAGAAAAGAACAGACAGATTAAGAATCCACAGTTCTTAGCATTTACTTTTTTAAAAAAGTAGTCAATACAATGTAGAGCAAAATATTATAATAATATTTTTATTATTATATTTTACTGTGTAAATAATAATAATAATAATAATAACCACAACATACATACACACACACACACACACATATATATATAATTCTTAATAAAATTGTATATAAAATATATATATATATATATATATATATATATTGAGAGAGAGAGAGAGAGAGAGAGAGAGAGATTGGAATTTTTGTTTTTTTTAATCTGTTATATTCCAAATTCACCGGTCTCAGAACCAGATGTTTACATTATCAAAATAGCTTAGATTACGGCGCCTTACCACATAAAAAAAGAAATATATTTTGACTTTAAATTTCTTGAGGAACATAGAGACGCAAGATATTGTTGGGGTTTCTATAAGCCAGATTTTTTTTAAGTTCGTAGGTTGTTAACCTACTGCACAGTCCCCCAATCTGGAGGATCAGGTTTTGATTTTCAGAATTGTCCTTCCCCTAGATTAGTTGCCACCCACGACTATAGAACACGGCCTGTGCTACTATTTACCCATAACAGGGTGGGGGAAAAAGAAGAGGGTCCATAACTTTCCTATGGCTATAACACGGAAGTGAATCGAAAAGAATTCGACTAGAATTCGAACTTGATTCTTCAATCCGAACCGCTCTTCATTACTTCACTCTGCCTCCCTCCATGTTACCTTAAATTTAATCAATTTAAGAGATGTTATCGCTTTAATTGATTACATTTTTCAAGAATGTATTTCCGAAATCTTAACTCTCATACCATCGCATATAAATGCTGGCCACAGACGCACTATTTATTGGGGCTTTCAGTAAATTCATATTTCTTGGAGTGTATGATTCCGATCGTGGGACTAAATTGTTAGCGGTTCTATATCGACCACGATATGAGCAGGACACGCTGGCACATTTGGGTAATGGCGGTGTTTAATAATAGTCCAAATAATTCACCGTTTTAGTGAAACTTCGTATTAGACATTGCTCGCCTATGGTCAATTGACGTGTGATAGGATGGAGTATCCGTGACTAGTGGATGGGAAATGATAGCCAATTACTTCCCGGTCAGTCGGTTTGCACGATCGAACTTTTAATAAATGCTGTCAAGGAAAGATGGGATTCATCAATTCGCGTTAATAACAAATTTTACACGCCTTAGTGACATAGTCAATCATAGGCTATCAAGATACATTTATTGCAATCTATCTATCTATCTATCTATCTATCTATCTATCTATCTATCTAGATATCTAGATAGATAGATAGATAGATAGATAGATAAATCTTCATATCTTATCTATTTATCTAAGTCTATTCATAACTATCTATCCATTGAAGTCTGTTCATATCTATCTATCTATCTATCTATCTATCTATCTATCTATCTATCTATATATATATATATATATATATATATATATATATATATATATATATATAATATATATATATCCGTTCATATCTATCTATTTACCTAAGTCTATTCATAACTATCTATCCATCGAAGTCTGTTCATACCTATGTATCTATCTTCATATATATATAAGTCTGTTCATATCTATCTATCTGTCATAGTCAATTAATAAATATCTATCTGTCTATTGTCGAAACCTTTAAATGTGCAATCATCCTTTCAACTAATCTTGCTTGTTATATTGACATTTCCACTGTTGTATTCTTCATTCATTTTCAGGTGTCAGTCGTCTGACTCAGTAATTTTGTTTGAATTTTGAATCGAATCCATTATTCAATCCGCAGAGATGTCTTTCTTATTCGGCTGCCATATTTGGAGGATATATTTGCATTGTCGATTAAAACGTAAATATTTAACAGACTCCCATTGTTGAATCCATTCACCCCAAGCAAGGCAACCACGCTACTAAGATACAAGGAAGAAGACGCTGGAAGTGAGAGAGAAGAAAAAAAGACTTCAGAATGAACCTTCGCGGTTAACGTTTTCTCATTCCAATGGCCATATCTACTTTTATCTCATTTTCTTTTTTACTAATGTTCCGTTAAAGGCCACCCTTTTTGCAGTGTGTCAGAATTTGTATTATCAGAGATTGAACTCACAAATATTATTCACCAAATTCATGAACGGACGTTTTAATCCATTAGAATACTGGGGCAGTCCTATCTATCTATCTATCTATCTATCTATCTATCTATCTATCTATCTATGTTAAGCCCATATCTTTACATATTCAAAACTATCTATCTATCTATCTATCTATCTATCTATGCTAAGTCCATATCTTTACATATTCAACACTATCTATCTATCTATCTATCTATCTATCTATCTATCTATCTATCTATCTATAAAAGGCAGGATGTGTGTGTGTGTGCGTGTGTGTGTGTGTAACGAATGCACGGCCGCAATTTTCGACGGATTTGCACCAAATTTTTCATGCACATGATCCAATTAACGGGAAGGCAAGGCCGAATTTGCATTTCCCAACTCCCATAGATAGTGGAAATAATCAATTTTTTCATGCTTCTACGGCAGTTTTTATGTAGTTTGCGGCCATTTTGTACTGGCCTATAGCTGGCTGCCACGAATAGGCAGGAAGATTCTATTGGCCAGCGTGAGAGCCAACAGCTGACTGACACGAATGTTAACTAGCATGCTAACATGCAAAAAAATCGATAGCTGCATTCGTCACAAGTGAGAAAATTTTAAATCTGCATGATACTTTACTCCAATTGGCTCATTCGCTTGCTCAAACTCAACGTTGATTCTGATTCCGCAGAACTGGGTTGAGTGTGAAAAGCATTTGTTGTTAACATTCTTTTTTCATTTGGTTTTTCCAGTTACGAGTCTTTTTTTTTTAAGCTGATCGTTTTGTGTTCATTTTGTTTAGTTCTTTTTTCGTAACAGATTTAATGTTTAGTATAGAGCTTAGAAAAAATTCGCAGTGTGAGATAGGCAAGAAGTAAGGCATGTAGCAACATCAGCACGGCAAAGGGCACTCCTTTAAAGGCAAGGAAGGGCAAAAATATTTTAAGTCAAGTGATAGCGATTGCTGTATGAGTCGTACGATTTTTGAATCAAGCACGGGCAACGCCGGGCCATGCTGCTCGTCAAAGACAACGACGAAAAGTCTCAGCAAATTTCCATGTGGCTATATCCCGAGATCCTCGCTGTTGCACAATATTTGGACTTGGATGCTGTCGAACAATCACGTGGTCAAGATAAACAGTTGTGGAGCAAGCTGAGTGAATACTCATTCAACATTGAGAAAGAGAGCTATTTATGGTTCAATGGAGCATCTCATTATGCTAAAGTGAGATAGTCCATTGCTTGGGCTGTGATTGGCTGCTGGTACCTGAGTGGAAGTTTTTCTATATAAATACCAGCTTGATTCCTCAGTTAGTTTGCAGGGTTTGTATTAAGTTACAACCTGCTTTATTTTTGTCTGACAGCTGGACGCTAGCTGGGACTCTTACGCCGGTAAGTGTTGTTTATTGTTATTCTACAGATGCACGTCACGAGTGGGACTGAAGCGTCACATACTACACAAGCATAACAAGTGAATGACATTGTCGGATCCTTATACATCGAAATCGACGGGACACTCATACATATATATATATATATATATATTATTCCCCAAATTCCTGAACCGACGCGTTAATCTATTAACCTATTGTACCGTGGGACAGTCCTAAACCTAGAAATATATACGCCGTGTAGATTAAATCAACCGTTCACTTCAAAATTCTTTGAAGGTTACACGGAACGACAGATGTGCAGAAGGCCGGAGATTACAACAACCGAAAAGTTGTGATAATAACCTCAAATTTGAGGGCAACATTCCGAATGTTAATAATGATAATAGCTCATCCCAAACAGAAATTATGAAAACTGATAAACTGTTTCGACAGAAAGATTTATGCTGATTGATTGATTCATTTACGGTTTATCATCTTCTATGTGTTATTTCAAGCTGGAAAATAATTTGAGATTATGGGAATTCTTTTGAGCTCACAATGGTTTAGTGATACAAGTATTACAACTTAACCCATAGCTGGGGGTAGACGAGGTGGATTCGTATTTTTGCCAAGGTTATTTGCGCAGAAGAAGTTATAACGAACACAACGGAAATTGACACTTCGATTAATAATTTCGAGACGTTATCTATTATACTATCCACACATCCAAACTGACAGCAGCAGATATCCTCAAATTGTCACCCATCTAGATAGTGACCAAAATCGACGATGCTTAACTTCGGTGATTGTACGGAAACCTGTGTTTCAACCTTGTAGAAGCCACTTAACCTAACCCACAAACATGGCGTAGCTCTCCTGTGCTTTTTTGGTATCATGAAGAAATATAGTTTTAAGGTGTGCTATATTTATGGGATAAAGTGCTCAATATCAGCGATAGAGCGTGTGTAAACATAAATATAAAAGTGGACATTGAAGTCAACACTCAGAGGCGACAGGCTGTCTCATGCTGGACGCAATCGTCAGGCGGTCGATAGCGTCCACCATGAAACAGCCTGTCGCCTCTGAGTGTTGACTTCAATCTTCACACACACACACACACACACACACACACACACACACACACACATATATATATATATATATATATATATATATATATATGAGACCCAAACAATTTACCTCATGCAGATGATCATTTCGTCCATGGGAAAGTAATTTTTCCTTGGACTTATCAATGCAAATACATGTACTAAAATATATATTTGATATTTCATATGTTCTATAATAAAAAATTATATTGAGCTCTGTTTTGTTGTTCAGCTTTAATATTTTATATTAACAGGATCTACTTGGATAGTTACCCATGGTTTTTTTGCCTATATATATATATATATATATATATATATATATATATATATATATATATATATATATATCTGTAGCAGCCGTTTCTTTGCAAGCAAAACCAGAACATTTTTGTGATCCCATTACTTATTTGGAGGTTAATGGGCGAGCCTTTCTGTTTTATGCTCTGGTTGGGCCATTTAAATTAGTTCTTAAATTTACGTACTTATTTTAATGGTAAAGTTGTTTTAGACGTGCTACCACTTTATTTCCAATATCCACATATTTGCAGACCTGTTTCGATACGTCAGCTCTGCCACCGATCGGCCCCTGAAGAGGTATTGTCCGAAAGGTTACGTAGGTCCATAAATGGAAAAATTGAACGCAAAATTGTGTTTAGAAATAATATAGATATATATATATGAAAATTTCTCAGAGTTAACATGTAGAAAAGACAATATTTTAAAATATAAATGACAATAGGAAAACTGTAGTATATATGTGTGTGTAAATATCTAACACGGCCTACCCGGCTCGATCCTCGAACTTCCCCACGCTGGCTATTACTGGCAACGGTTAACTGATGGTTATCTGCTGACTACATCAGTTCTTAATCTGCCCTGTCCACGTTGTGTTCTTTGATCACAGTGCCGTGAAGATCAAATGTTCGTGCGTTCTTAAGCGCTGAATCGAGTTGACGGTAACGTAATATGAAAAAGGGCAAGAATGCTGCCGCCGGTGAAAATACAAATATCACAACAAATAACGATGAAAGGGTAGGATTAGCCTTTGCTTTATATGCATCTAGCCCAACCCGTACCGCTCCTCAAAGCTCATTACGTATTCATCAATTAATTATTTTCTCCAACCCCGGAGACATGATACCAACTCTCAAACGGTCAGCTATTTCAAAACAATAAACTTTATTCCCACATTCATTGACAATCGACCGATTTGACAAACAATAATTTTCCCGTAAACATACTTGTGTGTTTAAAAATCTATTTCAAATCTGCAAAGAATTTTCTTTGTCAAATTCCAAATGAATTCTGTTTGTCGATTTCCCAAAATTACTCAGATAATTACCTGAATGTTTACAAACGCGGTTTTGCGAATAATTTCGGCTTTACCCAAATAAGCTACCAGGCCGTCAATGACCTTCAAATACCAAAACAGTCAATTAATCAAAACAATGATCTTTTCCGATAAACAACTTTATGAACCTTCGAAATTTATTTTAAAAAAAAGGCAAGAGTTTTTCAGAATGTTTTACATTCGGGCTTTCGTATTTATAACAATTCTTATTTGCTTTCTTCAGTTAATATTTTCAACATCACAATTCAACATGGACTTAACACTCCATAAGGCGTTTCTGTTTATTTCAGTTAATGTTTTCACCTTAACGTTTTCAACCCTTCCAATTCTCTAATTGTGATCTGCGTTTTCACATGAATCTTTTCATCTTAATTTCATACTACCAGTCTTACAGTAGTGTCACATTTTTTCAATATCACTACTGACACTTTATAGTGTCACAGATAGATACGTAAAGTTTACTGCCTGTTAGTGTATATAAGCATTCAAATTAAGATGTACGATTACTGGTACAAATTTAGTCTTGCACTCTTCCGATTTAATTGATTTCACATGGAGGTCTATTTCGCTGTAAGTTCACTCTTGACCTTTTCAACTTTTCTAACAGATGCTTCTCAGACTCTGAATGCCGACCGATCGAAAGATAAGCGATCATCCCTATTTATCGGAAAGGGAGTGATACGGGGATATCGTGAGAAACGCAATAGGAAATTATTCTGAAATCAATTAAACAAGCAACTTGTGATGCTACACGATTATCGAATTGAGCAGTGCTAAAAGCCATACGCTTCTTCATAGCGATTTACTCGCCTCTTCGACCATGCAGTGTCACTTTCCCAGTCAAAACAGACTAGCGAGGAAAATTACTCAATTGTTTTCGCATGCTTGTGATTATCGCCATATTATGATTCGGAATGGAAGTTCGATTGGGAGACGCCTGTCCGCCCCCACCCCTACACGAAATAAAAAAAAGGATTGATTTGGGGACATTTGAAGTAATTCCGTTTCTTGCATTTATTATCCTGTTTTAAATTAAAATGCAATTAAATCTTGGGATGTTAAATGCTGTGACATTATATATATATATATATATATATATATATATATATATATATATATATATATGATATAAAATGACAATTGGAAAACAAAATCTTAGATTTTTCCGACGCGTTTCGTCTTCCGACTTTTCAAGGCAAAAATGAAATCGAAATGTCTTTGTTGTTATAGTTACATTAAAAAATCCAAATTTAAAAAGATAGACGCTTCTGTCTAAGCCTTTTTCTGGTTAATGTAAATTTCCTTTATACTAAGTGATGTTTTTTTCCTTGAAAAAGTCGGAAAACAAAACACGTCGGGGAAATCTTATTTTATACCAATTTGTCTTGTCCACAGAATTGATCTGGGAATTTAACTATATATATATATATATATATATATATATATATATATATATATATATATATATATATATATATATATATATATATAAATATATATATATGAAAGAGCGAAACAGTCTCTCTGTGGATGGCAATATTTACATGCTCCTGAAAAATTATTTCGGTTGAGTTCTTCGAGGAGAAAAGTAAATTTGTAAACAGTGGCTATTACTGCTGCTGATGCAAGACAAGGTCGATTTTACTGTTTTAAATCACGGAGAAAAATCGACTTTGTGAACCGAAATGTTCCTCTGTGACACAACCGGTAAAAGCCTGTCAGGTTGTATGAAGGTTCCATATAGGATACAGGTTCGATTCCTGTCGGAAGACGCATATTTTATATGAAAATTTCTCGGACATTTAGGCCGATAAAACTCGTTAATAATGTTTATTATAAACAGAGCATTTACTTAAATATTTTTATCTATAAAAAGAACGTATAAACATAAAAGATGTCTTTATATATGTATGTATATATATCAACTCTTGAGTGTTGACTTCAATGTTCGCTTTTATATTTATATTAATATATGCTCTATCTCTGATATCAAGCACTTTATCCCATAAATATAACACACCTTAAACTATATTTATATATATATATATATATATATATATATATATATATATATATATATATATACATATAAATATATATACATATACACACACACACATATATATATATTTGTGTGTGTGTGTGTGTGTGTGTATGTACGCATATATGTATGCATTGCGTATATCTTGACAGCGTGTTTTCATTAAGACATGTTTCATTAAAGAATTTAGACAAGTTTTGTCTACTTTTAAAAAAAATAAAATCCTGTAATTATTACGGACAAGTTTCTTAGTATCCTTATTAAAGGAAGAAAGAAAATTACCATGTTGATACATATTAATTCCGAATAGTTTTAAATTTTGAATTCCGAATAGACATTAGCACAATGTCGTCATCAGGGTCTTATTTTTTCCAAGACAAAACAATTGTTGTGTTCATAATTTTTCTAAGACGTAATTGTTGTGTTCATCTGAAAATTAAATTGTTTACGTGTGAACTGAAAACCGTTAACGTTATGTACTGTACAATTTTAAATTTTATCATGTAGGCACACGTGTAGACGCAAGGGAGGTAAGCAGGTTATTGTAATATGTAAATATTTTTAAAAAGGAAAAAAAAAACAAACTTTAAAACTATGAATTAAAACCCAGATATTTTAAACTTTCTATTGTATACATTTTAAAAGATTTGCCCAGTATTCATAATTAATTTTATTGCGGTTTGGTTTTTAAATTTTAATGTAGATAACTTCAATTTTTAGTTTATGTTTATTATTTTCATAAAAATATAGATGTATTTTCAAGAATTTTCCTAAATCGCGAATGTGGACAGGCATGTTGTTGTAAATGTTCACATATGTTAGATTCATCATTCGATGAATGGATGACTATATATATATATATATATATAATCGACTCTCCCGTCGTGTTCGACGTATGAGGGTCAGGCCGATAAGTCCCAAGGAAACCGACATCCCGACACCGGCACATGAGATTTGTTTATAGTGGTGAAGGCCTTGTGCATGACCAGCCACTTTATATATATATATATATATATATATATATATATATATATATATATATATATATATAGTGTGTGTATTCAGGCATTATCTTTTCATTCATACACGTTTCATTAAATAATATAGACAAGTTTTGTCTATTTATTTTATGTAAACTCTTTTCATGACGTCTAATAAGTTGAATAACATTATAATTGAACGAAGAAAAAATTCACAATATTGATCCATATTTTTTTAATATAATCTAAGCTTTCGGCTTACATAAGCCATTATCAAAGATGTCAATTACAACATATTAAGCAATATACGGACAAGACAGTGATGACAGTCTGTGAATGTTTACATAAATGATCTCTAAGCAACGATAAACACGTTCATATAAGACGCTAGAAGCGAAAATCGCACCGCATCTCATGACGTCACACAAACCACGCGAGAGTGAATTGGAGAAGTATGAAGTATGGAAAGCCGTTGACACAAACCAATGGCCTCCGTCACGAACTACAGACATTTAAGGATATTTGTAGAGATTCCATAGTTGATTTTGTTTAGGTTGGGTTTCAACTCTTTGATGTATAATGCTTCAAGGATTTTTACTTTTTGTCTATTGTTTTTATGTCGAAGTATAATTGTGTTTTCGACAAGTATTTTACGGAATTGTATGTGCGGGCAGGCATGTTGTTTTAAATGAATATATATATATATATATATATATATATATATATATATATATATATATATATATATTTCTGAAATCCGGTTTTGGGTTTTAAAAAACAGCGGCTCCTACTGCTATTAAGCATTAATATTCAAGTGTGAGCCACTGGCGTATTTCGTCTAAAGAAAAATCATTAAAATTCTCTTCCTTTCTGACCATGGACTGGAGGTAGGATATCTGACTGATGTCAATTCAGTCGAGTTTCGATCCCGGCTTGAAGTAATCGGACGTCTGAGGAGCTGTGATGCAGCGAAACAGTCTGTCTGTGGATGACTATATATGCTCCCGGAAATCCGATTGACCTCTATGTTTACACCTTAAAATAAGTTTGGTAAATATTTATTTGCTTCCTGTGTATGCGCCCGTATACGTTTGGTAATATCTAGTTATTTGATTTACCAACCTCTTTCTTTCTCTCTCTCTCTCTCTCTCTCTCTCTCTCTATATATATATATATATATATATATATATATATATATATATATATATATATATATATATATATATATATATATATACAATCGCTGTCTTGTGTAAGCATATCGGAAGGAAATACAGCTTAAATATTTCCCTGAGAAGTAGACGAGAGCAAGAGCATGTGTGTGTGTGCGTGTCGGGGATTGCTTCTATATTTGTGTGAGGGTACATTCATGTGTGATTGTGTGTGCGGGCGTCTTAGACTCATCTTTTCAGCACTCATTTCTCCATTTCTGTTTTCATAAACTTTTCCCTCCTGAATTTCGATTCTTTTTCTGCCCTCTCCTCATTACGTCTCGTTTCATATCGGCCATTTTTTGTCAATCTGTTCAGATTCAAATCCAATGGCTTCTCGCTTTTTTTTTTGTTTTGTTTTCACACTTTTTGCTTCTTTTTAATCACTTTTGTCTTTATTTTTCGTCTTTTTCATTCGTTTCCATTTTTCGTTCATTCGTTTAATCATTCAGCCTCTTATTTATTCATTTTTTTTCTTTGAATTTCATTCCTTCGCTCTTAGAGTTACTCTTTCATTTCTTTCTTTCTTTGATTTTTCTACTTCAGTCTCACACGATATTTTTTTCGTCTTTTTCCTCTCCTCGCGTTTCTTTCTTTCTTTCTTTCTTTCTTTCTTTCTTTCTTTCTTTCTTTCTTTCTTTCTTTCCCACCTTGGTTGTTTTTTCTTCTACTCACATTTCTTTCTTTCTTTCTTTTATTCCTCTTTCTTCTGTCTTTCCCACCTTGCTTTTTTTTTCTTCTACTCACTTTCTTTCTTTCTTTCTTTCTTTCTTTTTCTTTCTTTCTTTCTTTTGTCTTTTTTCTTCTACCACCTTGTTTGTTTTTTTTTTTTTCTTTTATTCTTTTTTCTTTTCCGAACTTTGCTTGTTTTTCTTTCTTTCTTTCTTTCTTTCTTTCTTTCTTTCTTTCCCACCTTGCTTTCTTTTTTCTTTCTTTCTTTCCCCCATTTTTTTTCTTCTCATTTCTTTCTTGTTCTTTCTTTTCTTTCTTTTATTCCTCTTTCTTCTTTCTTTCCGACTTTGCTTGTTTTTTTTCTTCTACTCACATTTCTTTCCTTTTTTATTTGTGTCTTTCTTTCTTTTCTTCTTTTCTTCTTTCTTTCTTTCTTTCTTCTATTCCTCTTTTTTCTGTCTTTCCCAACATGCTTGCTTTTTTCTTCTACTCACATTTCTTACTTTCTTTTATTCCTTTTTCTTCTGTCTGTAATTGAACAAAATTAGGAAAACTAAATTTTCAAATTTCCTGCCTGACTAGAAAATCCTCATTCCTAATAGCCAGAATGCTCACGTCTCAGTTTCATTCGCCTCTCTGTCTACGTTTTTCGTCTTTGCTTCATATTTTTTCTTCTTTCCTTTCTTTTTCTCTGTACTTTTTCCACTGAAATTCTTTTGTTACTTTCGTCCATTCACTTCCTTTGATAGAAATTTCTCTCTCTTTTTTTTTCTTTTATGTCAATCACCATAGTGTCTTGAACCCCAGAAATAAACCCTTTATAATAAAGCGTCTCATCTTTACAGAAACAAAACCCACACCGACATAAAAAAGCAAACAACGAGAAAGACATTAATAGCGATGGTTATACCAATTTTAACATCAAACATAGTAATACTGTCCTCGCCTCGATTGTATCTTCCTCTAAAAAATAACCATGATTTGCTTATATGCTGTAAATAGGCATCTTTATTATCATTAAATGAATTATAATATATACATCAACGGATGATAAATTTGTATCTTCCTGAAGGTAGACCTAATTTTGACGTGGACACATCATTCACACAGTATTAGATATTATGACAAAATGTTCATTTTTCAGACATATCCAGACATAGTAGTAATTTTATAAACTTAGCTAAGTATGGCACAAGGCCAATACTATTCTCGTCTCTCAGTAAGTATAAAATGCACAACACAGTAATAATAGTAATGTTAATATTACCCGTTTCCCTACAAGGAAATATTTGACTTTTATTGACCGAACAGTCAGTGCTGATTTTTCTTGAAATTTATAAAATCTTTCGCTTAAAAAAATATGGGGATACAGAAATAGGTTTCTGAAGTTAAGTATCTATTAACATGGTCACGTGGGCGAGCGGTGAGACCATTCGCTTTCCGACCAGGTTTCGTATCTCACCATTGGTCGATTGGTCAGGAAGAGAACTTCTTGATGATATGGGGAGGTGGCATCTTTGGAAAGTGCCTGAAAACCATAGTACGGGTTGATTTCAACGTTGTGAGTAAAATAGGTTTGATAGGACAAGTCATCGTGACCGAGGATTTGCGTTTATTGGCTTAGTTCAGACTGTTGATAATACACTCGTTCCCAGAAACTATAACACATGCCCACTCAGTATAGGTGCAGTATAAACCGCAGGTGCGCTCTGTGAGGGTTGAACAAACAAAATTTGTCTGGGCAGGCGTCTGCAGCAGGGATTGGTTAGCCATCCTAGTAGACAGGTATATTCGCATACGAGCGGTCAGCCATTATGTTATATAGCTATTATTCATCTTTCCCCGACTAATGGGGATTTCCTAATTTACCTTTTATTTGTAGCAGTGTGGAATGTCTCCATCCTGACTGTGTCATCTTTTTTTTGTGGTCAAACAGATCTCTAACCGTCACCTTAAATATATTTATTAAACTCAGCTGAGTTTTTTTTAGCATATATAGTATTAATAACATAAGCGGTAACTTTAATGGTAATGTTAGCACTAATGGTAATGGTAATATTATCCGTTTCCTTGTGTGTAAACATTTGGCTTTAGTTGGCTGAGCAGTCAATCTAACTGTCGGTTGAATTTTATAAGATCTTTCTATTAAAACAATTTTTCATGAAAATATGTTCCTCAACTCCAGTAACTGTCATTGCTCTTTCAGATATTTATGGAGCCTTTATTCTTTTGAAGAAATGTCAAAATACAGTATGTCCCCGGGTTACGACAGTACCGACACTCATTGAATTGGTATCAATGAATTCTTGGTTTCAGGCTATATTCCTCTTTGCCGGTAAAGGTTCCAGCATTTTAATGCATGGCTATGGTATTTAAATCCAGGATAATCTTCCGATTGTCAGGGAATTGTCTCTCGAGGCCCCAGAAGACTCGTTCATGTGCTTCCGTCATTCGTTATTGAACCTGTTAGCTATCTCTTTTTCCTTTATCGCCCCCACGTCTATTTAGGACTGTAGTATATTAGACATAAAAGATGACAGTATAGAAAAAGCAATTACTCTCCATCCATGTTTGTTTTCGATGACTTTAAACCTCACCACGACATGTGGATAAAACATTCTAAAGTTACTGATATTGCCGGTATTCAGGCATTAAATGTTTCCATTTGCCAAACCCTTACTCAAATCGTGGACTTCTCTACTAGTTTCCTTAGCAAAAGCGAGCAACAGGCTTCTCTGCTTGATTTATTTCTTATCTCCTCTCCTCGATCGTGTCGAGCTTCGCAACACTATCTTCTTGGTAATTCTGTGGTAGCTATTGGTATATATTCCAACCATCAATTAAACAGTAACCTCTTATTCATAAGACCTCTTTCCGTTACCAGCATGCTGACTGGGATTCACTGAATTATTTTCTTTTTGATGTTCCTTGGACTGACACTGCACCACTGAGGTTTCTTTTGGATTAAAGCCGGCGTGAACGCTTTAATTCCTCCCCAGAAATACCAGGTAAAACCTCAAACTTCTTGATGGTTTACACCAGCATCCGTGTCCGTTATAGTACACTGGAACAACTATTTTCGGGTATACCAGCGTGACACCTCTCGTCACAACGTTGCTTCTTGTAATAAGTTGAAGCAAATACTCGATGGAGCTAAGTTCCTCTTTGTCGAGAGAACTTTGGCTCTCAAGATTACTGGCGCGCTGTAATAGTGCATTAAATAAGTGCAAGGTGTCTATTTCCCCTCTCTTCAATCAGTTTAGGGTGCTAATGACCTCTATTGATACAGATGAATACTTCCCCTGTAAATTCTTATTAACTCTATTCCTGACTCCTCTGGAGTATCCCTGCCTAATTTCCCACTTAGAACTGAGTCACTCTTGAGTGATAAACATGTAGCCCGATCCATAGTTTCTACTATCATTTCTAACCTTGATCCCCACAATGCACGTGGACCTGATAGTGTTCCTGTAATAGTCATTAAGATGTATGCTTCCGAACTGGCTCCTGTTCTCTCTAAATTGCAAAATAATTGCCTCCTGTTTTCCTGCATTCTGGAAGTCACCATCTATTGGTCCAGTTTTTAAGAAGTCTGCTGAACCGTCCTTTCAACTAACAGTCTATGAGCATTCTATCTCTTTCTGGTAAACTTCTAGAGGCCCTAATCAATGCTGAGTTGGTTCATGATCTTTCATCGCAGGGCCGTTTTTCAGACAAGCAATATGGATTTCGTTTCTCCAGGTTAACTGCTGATGTACTAATGATAATTGTGGAAAGAGTCTATCATGTTCGAGATAAAAACTTTGAAGCCCGGGCTGTAACATTGAACATTTCGAAAGCCTTTGACTTCGTTTGGTATACAGGTCTTCTCCACAAGCTGAAAAGTTACGGCGTCTCCGAACACACTTTTGAACTGATCCAGTCTTTCTTATTAAATCGTGAAGTGGCAGTTATCCTGAAAGACTACTCGTCTAGATCCTAACGCTGGTGTCGCCAGGGCTTCAGGCTCAGTTTTTAATATTTATTAACGAGTTTCCCGATAATATCAGCTCTCAACTTGGCATTTACGATGTTGACACAACGCCTTCTCCTGCCTCGAAAATAAGGCTGATCAGTCCGACAAGTTCAAAATGACAGCCGATGTCCAAAACGACCTCTAGTCCGTCGTTAACTGAGGCAAACGATGGCATGTTAATTTTATAGACTCGAAAACTAAACTTCTCAGCAGTAATCATCTACCATTCGTCTATACTTGGAATATTGCTGCCATATATGATCCGTTGCTACTGATATTTATCTTGAGCTCATTGATAAGATTCAAATAAGAATCCGCAATATTATTGGTCCTGATCTAGCGGCTTGGCCTCAGTCACTTTTAAGGTTGTCTCTCTGTGTCTCTTCTGTAAATACTTTCATGGTTATTGTTCGGATGAGTTCTTTAATATGGCATCTAAACTCTATGAATTTAAGCGCCGTACTAGACTGGCGTCGAGATCTCATCAATTTACAGTGGAGCTGGCGAGATGTCGCCGTGAGTTCTATGTTAACAGTTTTGTTTCTCACACTTCTCGCTTGTGGAACTCCTTTACAGGTTCATGCTTTCCAGTCAACTTTAATCAGCAAAAATTTTAATTCATTGCCAATTGCTATCTACTGTCCTCCTGATTACTTTTTTCTTTTCCAGTATATTATTAAGAGTATCAGTTCTTAATTCTTCCGCACTCTGTAACCCTCTTGTGTCTTAGTGGCTTTATTGCCTTGTGACAGTGATTAAAAAATGACAACTTGTGTTTATGACGCAATCTCATTTAATCCTGATGTCATTATATGTATTATATTTATGTCACTCAGGTGTTTTATTCCTAATTATCTTAACATATGTCATAGAAATGTGCTATGTCCTAGATTATTACCTTATTATTGCATAAGCATAGGTGAGTGACATAAGTATTTATACGGAAAATCGCGTCACGGCGCATCGTAGAAACGGTACACTGTCGTAAATCATGTACATTCCAATTTACATTTGGATGCGCTTTGAGCAGATATGAATGTACGTGAGAGATTCATGGAAGATTGAAGTGTAAAGACAGTGGACAAATCGGTTAAAGGTACGTCACGCTAAATGACGGTTCCGTATAGGATACAGGTTCGAATCCTGTCGGAGGACAAATATTTTCTGTGAAATTTTCTCGGACATTCAATCCGGTAAATGTTGTTTAATACTGTTTATTATAAAAAGAGCGTTAACTTAAATATTTGTATCTATAAAAAGAATGTATAAACATAAAAATGTCTTAAAATAATTGTCGGACTTTGTCCATTTCATTATATATATATATATATATATATATAAAAATAAAAGGCTCAAACACAAATATTCCATGGTTATAATTTATTACATCGTAATCACTATCCAATTCATCAGACCTACAAATTCAAAAAGAAATCGGAAAATATAACTCCGAGTATAAATAACAGTATATATATATATTTAGTTTATGAAAAACTAGGTAATCCGTATGGGTAAACCTAAGGAGGATAAAATCCAGAGAGTTCAATGTAAATCCATATATATATATATACACACACTGTATTTTCCATCTTTGTATTGATTTTCATATCATATGTTTCTCAGGAAGTACACTTTCATTTACGTGTAAATTAATTTTGCAAATGACTCCTTTAAAAAAAGAAGAAAAAAATTCTGCGGATTCCAGACAAAATCTAACTCAATTATTTCTCCCTCTCCGTCACTGCTGTAGTTCGCTCAATTTATTAGATTTAAACTTGGGAGGACGTTTTAAGCTTGTGTGGGAGTCAGCTTAAAAGAGTTTCCTTGTTGGGTTAAGCCAATTCCGTCTGACGTTGTCGAATATAATTTTGGTACGCACAAGTGGCAGAAAGAATTCACAGCAAGAATTCGTCCGGCTTTTAGGCTGCTGGAGTCATTGTGTCACCATTGGCTAATGGCCAGACCAGCGATTCGAATTTATTGATATTATTTGATAATACCTGAATATTTTCTGGGTTCATGTCGTCTGCTTTGAGGAAAGAAGAAACGAAAGTAGAATGGAGGAGAGTAAATGCAAAAAACAAAATGAAGAAAGACATTCAAGAGAAAAGAAGAAAAAGAAGGAATAGAAGAAAAAGAAGGAAAAGAAGTAAAAGAAGGAAAAGAAGAAAAGAAGGAAAATAAAAAAGAAGGAAAAGAAGGAAAAGAAGGAAAAGAAGAAAGAGAAGGAAAAGATGGCAAAGAAAGAAAAGAAGAGAGAGAAGGAAAAGAAGGGAATGAAAAAAGAAGAAAAAGAATGGAAGGGAGAAAAAAGGAAAAGGAGAAAAAGAAGAAAAAGAACGAAAAGAAAGAAAAGAAGAAAAAGTAAGGTAAGAATAATAAGAAGTAAAAGAAGAAAAAGAAGCAAAAGAAGAAAAAGAAAGAAAAGAAGAAAAAGAAAGAAAAGAAGAAAATGTGAAAACAAATGAAAGAGAAGAGGAAAAGAAAAAAATCAGGAGGAAAGGGCGCACAATGAAAGCAAAAAAAAAAAAATGAAAGAAGGACAAAATGGAAATTATAAAAATGAGAAGGGAAGGAGAAACGAAACGGAAGAAAAGAATAAGAAAAGAATTAAAAAAGAAACGTTGAAAGAAAATAAAGTAGAAGCAAAAGTAGGAATGAAAAATATGCTTCTTTCTATTCACTGCACTCCACAACTTCTTTTTCTTTATAGGTCTTAATTGTTTTTACTATCTTACTTAATCAATGTTCTGCCAACCACTGACACAAATTCGTTAAATTATTCATTGCTTTTCTCTGTTCCGATTCCATCAGTACGTCATATGCGTGCCAAATTCTTCGAACTCATTTTCTCTGTTATGTATCAGAGAAATTTCAACGTACTCTTTCTATCTGTCTATATTTCTGAGATGAGGTATTATGTACATTATTTACATTATTCGGACTATTGTCCTCATTTTTGTCGTCATATTTATTACAACGTTTCGGCCCTTCAGTATCTGTCTATATTTCTGAGATGAGGTATTATGTACATTATTCGGAGTATTGTCCTCATATTTCGGCCGTTGTACGCTCCGGCCTTATTCAAGTGGTTGGAATGTCGAACTGAACCTTTTATTTCGCTCACTGGGGTAGACTGTTCTAGTTCCACGTGCCATGTTTAATGGATGTCAGTTATCAGTTATCTCCTGTTAATTTCCCTCTAAAAGTTCTCCACTGTCTTAACCGGGTATTGAACTCTTTGGGTCCTGTCACTGGATCTAACTAACGTCTTTGCCCTATATATATATATATATATATATATATATATATATATATATATATATATATATATATATATATATATATATATATATATTATGAATAAAAATGACAATAGGAAAACTGGTAATTGCTGACGCGTTTCGTCCAATGGACTTTATCAATGGAATGTAGAGAAACGCTATTTTCATCTCTGACGTTATTTCTCATTTAAAAAAAAAAAAAATGAAAATAGCGTTTCTCTACATTCCAGTTGCTAGGTACATTCTGTTTTTGTTTTTATTAGTTACGTTGTTCATTTAATTTCATTTTTCGTATTTTGCTTTGATAAAGTCCACATTGGACGAAACGCGTCAACAATTACCAGTTTTCCTATTGTCATTTTTTATTCATAATATTGTCTTCTCTACCGATTAAATCGGAGAAATTTTCATATATATATATATATATATATATATATATATATATATATATATATACATTTCATTGAACACGACAGACAAGTCGCTTTTTATTTAATTTTGTATACAATTTCTTATGCGATCTAATATATTTTTTCTTTTCGAAAATGTCGTTTCAATGAAAGTTTATTGCTGCCTAAATACAAACACACACACATACACGCACGCACACACACACATATATATATATATATATATATATATATATATATATATATATATATATATATATATATATATATAAATCAGTTGTAACACCAAAATTTTCCAAATCGTGTAACGCCAACATTATCCAATCGTTGTATCTTAGAAATGATTAAAGATATCTTATTGGAATTCAATGAGGTTTTTGTAAAACTATTGGACTCTACTTCGAGCAATAAAAATGTATAATTACTCTACAATCTAAACAAAAGAATCGTGAGGAAATCGATCATAAATGAAAATGACATGTTCAGCATTAATTAATCATAGTGAAAGTTCGGAAGCTCATGAAGAATTGAAGTTCAAATATATATATATATATATATATTATTCCAGGATCCTTTTCTAACTTATTCAAGATGATCAATGAACTCTCTAACCCCTTAACTTTCCGTCGTGGTATAACAAGGTGCTTCACAAGTTTCACGTACGATTTCATTTCAAAATCTTTTTTCACTGCTTTTTGGACTGTCATAACTGAAACTCCTCTCTCGTGCCAAACTTTATATAAATTGAGTTTTATCTTTTCTAATTGATCTCTTTAGCTCTAAATTGAAATGATGATCCATCTTCCTGTTGTGAACCGCATCATCCAGTTTATCTCTTTGCTGTTCCCTGTTTTAAAAACTTGAATGGACGTTGAAGATAGAAGCCAGAGTATGAATGTTGATACTATTACTGAAGACCTGAATGATATTTTCCTCTCACCATTGCTATATATATATATATATATATATGAAGAAAAATATACGGAAAAAAACAAACAAAAATCCTAATATGCAGTTATGCTATTTTAATGTTAATATAATGTCAACGTCGGACGTTTCGGTCTAGTAGAACATCTTCAGGACATATTCATAAAACATAATGATCGACAAACGTACATATAAGTTTTAGATTAAAATAAAATTCTTTTCATTTTTCATTCAAAATACTCTATTTTAGAAATACGTTTTCACAACATCGCCCACGTGACGCCGACGTGATCATATTGAAACGGAACGCTGATCTTGAAAAATTTCAGTTATCTGTTTGGATTAGTCTTACTCTTATGTCCATCGTCTTTTCATGTTGAATTAAATATAGTCTAATGTTAATTATGTTTTATTAAAACAGCATAAGTGCATATTAGGATTTTTCTTTGTTTTTTCCGTATATTTTTCTTCATACTGTCGGATCTATATCCATATATTTGCATATATATATATATATATATATATATATATATATATATAGTTTTAACTGATTGTTTTATGTTTGTATCTAGAGTTGTAGGATTTTTTTTAAGATGACATAAGAAAGAAGAGTCATGAATGGAAGGAAAGAAGAGAGAAAAGAAAAGAAAAGGATTTGCGTATAAATTAAAGGAAAAAAGACATGTAAAATGAATCGTAATATTAGGAAAAGAAAAGAATAGTAAGGAGGGGAGAAAGGGAGGAGGAAAAAAAAAGAATTAAAAAAGCAGAAAGGATAGAACACCGTACTTCTTCGAATAATCCCTCGAGGCACCCGTTTAGAAATTTATCCTTTCAGAGGAGAGCTTTTTAAATAATTGTTAAATAATTAAGTCAATAATCTAAAGATATTCTTTCCTAATTAGCAATTATTCCGTTTATGTCTTAGTAATTATAAAATCAAAACATTTCCAGCAAGAATGGCAAAGACCTTCATAATCACATTATTATTCGTAAACACTTCTTGAAGCTAAGGAAGGTGACACGTTTATAGTCGGTATATTACGACATGGCGAAGAAAATATTTTCTTAGCTGCCAATGCCCTATAGCATTATTCGGTCACTTTTTTTTGTTTTTTAAGAACAATAAAAATGTTTCACAGAACTAACCAACTCGAAAAAGACATAGTGTAGTTAGGATGGCTGTATCTGTGCGCTACAGATCCCTTAACAAAGATCATCTCGTTTATATACCGTGGCCCTTCAGAACATAGGCGATCATGACTCTCCACATCTTCTTCTTCTTTGTAGCTCTTAGTCTTTTTGTTATTTCTCCCAAACCCTGTTCTACCACACATGCATTCCAGCCCATCAAGTATATTTCGTACTCTTTCTGCTCCTATTTCCATCTGTCCCGTGAGTATCAGATTTTCGAAGCCCTCCTTCCTCATTACGCCCCCCCACCCAGTAATTTCAACTGCCTCTCCCTGATGTTAAGTATTTCCTTTCTTTCTGAAAGGATATGGCACATAATTTTTTTTAAATATCCCCTTTAAGGAAGGAAAATATTGTTGAACACATTCTGAAGTTGAGCCTTCAAACTTTCATTTTTAAGAGATATTTCATCGTCTGCCAATTCAAAGAATACTGGTTAATATATATGATAATATAAATTATTTAAAGCGGAAGATGACAAGGTCTAGTCTGGTTAGGTGTCTATGGAGATTTATTTATTTTTTTATTTTATTTTTTATTTTTTTCTGAAAGGGTTTTGTGTATATAAAATCTGTCGTAAATTTTTTGACAACTTCATAAAGGGTTATCTTTTTTTGTAGGGCATTTAAACTATTTATTAGGACTATGGAATTTTAAAAATTATTTTATTGTTTGTTTTCATGCTAATTATTCAATGCAAAAATTTGATGATGTCGGCAAAAAACCGTTAACTCATGTCTATTGTTTAATAGATTTTTATTATTTAGAAAATTAATAATGTGTAGTTTTTCATGTTGGCATAAAGAGCATGGGTCATCCCACGTTTTACAAGTTCTAGTTTTGTTTATAATTTTCCATTTTACTTTTGGTGTTTTATTCATTTTCTTCAAATGCCAAAAATATTTAGATAGAGATGTCTGATTTCTTTTATTTATATTGTTGAAGGAGCACTTATGCTGCATCCATCTGGTTTTAATATATATATATATATAATTGTACTCGTTTGGAAAAACCACGGATAACTCAACTTGCAGTAGAACAAATTGGTACCCTCGGAAAAATGCGCAATAAAAAAAAAAAGAAAGAATCAAGAACATTAAACAATGGCGAAAACAATCGTCCAGTGTTTAAGATCCAAGTCCAAAACGAGTAAAAAGACAACTACGTAGAGTGCTCAAACCCTGAAGATCCGTTTAGGTGAAACCTAGGTAGGTTTGCCTGGCTTCTTAGGATTATCTATCTATCTATCTATCTATCTATCTATCTATCTATCTATCTATCTATCTATCTATGTTGATGATATCTATATGTTGATGATATTCTTATGTTAGTTAAAAATACAGTTGAAATACTTCAACTTCAAAAACGTTTCCAAAATAATTCTGTCCTTAAATTCACGTATGAACTCAATACTAATAATAAAATCCCCTTCCTTGACATATTGATAAACACAAATAATAACAAATTTATTATTTCGCCATACAAAAAACCTACAAGCATAAATTCATGTACAGTTAACTACAAGAGCGAATGTCCATATTGCTACAAAATAGCAATTATAAAAAATCTAATACATCGTGCAGAAACTAATTCATCCACAAAACAGATTTTTTATAGTGAACTAAAGAATATGAAACAAACACATATTAATAATAGCTTCCCAAACTATATAGTTGATGAACAAATAAGATGTTTTCTTAGAAGTCTTAATACTAAGCAAATAGAACATAATACTGCTTCAACTAATCCCAAATATATTAATCTGTTATATTGTAGTCAAATGCAAACTAATTATAATCAAGATGAAAATATAATAAAAAAAAAATTAGCAAATACTAATATATCTACAACAGATCCTAGTAAAAAAAATTAGGTTCATCATATACTACACTAAATCTAGTATATCCAACTTAATTGTTCGCAATGATTCTTACCCCATCCCCGTTAGCAATTTGCAAAAAACAACATAGTTTATAAATTCAAGTGCCCTTTGAGAGATTGGATCGCAAATGGATTAAATAATATTTATGTTGGTCACACCACAAACTCGCTTTCGCGACGCTTGACTCTACATTTGAATGATAACTCTAACATTTTTAGGTATTTAAAACAACAAATCCTTGTTGAAACCAAAACTATACTTAAACATGGAAACAATAAACAAAAACTAAAAGTTCTTGAATCTATATACATAAAACAGTTGAAACCTAACCTGAACAAAATAAACTACGAAATCTCCACAAATATTCTTAAATGCCTATAATCTAACAGAAGCCATTGATTTATACCAACGGCTTCCCATACTTAAGACTTCTCGTTTTCACTCTCGCGTGGTCATGAGTGACGTTACGAGCAGTGACGCGATTTTCGCTTCCGCGTCTCGTATACACGAGTTAGTTGTTGCCTCGAAATTTTTCATGTAACAAAAACAGACTATCATTATTGTTCCGTGTATTGGTTGATATAGTGAAAAGTAATTGTCATCTTTCATTGTTAATGGCTTATGTAAGCCGAAGCTTAGATTGGATTTAAACATGTATCAATATGTTGATTTCCTTTTGTCCTTCAATGATAATGTTATTAAGCTTATCAGACAATATGAAAGGGACTTACTTAGAATAAATACACAAAACTTGTCTATATTATTTAATTAAACAGGCATCAATGAAAAATTGCTGCCTATATATACATATATATATATATATATATATATATATATATATATATATATATATATATTATATATATTATTCAAATGTTATTATAGTGGATACATCATATTTGAAATAGGCTCCACATCTTTATTTATTAATCACTGTGATTACTTCTATTGGCCTTATATATATATATATATATATATATATATATATATATATATATATATATATATATATAGATAGAGATAGTGTGTAAATATAAAAGTGAACATAGAAGTCAACACTTAGAGGCGACAGTCTGTTGCATGCTAGACGCAATCGTCAGACCACGAGTGCTGTTACTTTTCTCGGCTATTTATATATTCGTGTCAGTGGTGCATTGTGGGTAGTCTATTTTTAAATGAATATAAGATAAGAAATAAAAAAAAAATAAAATAAAAATAAATAACGACCAGCTTAACCCAAATAAATAAACAAATAAGCGACTTCCGGTAAAATAACCGCCAAAATAGACTACCCACAGTGCATCAGCCCCGTATATATGAATAGCCTAGAGAAATAAGAGCACTCGTGGCCTGAAGATTGCGTCTAGCATGAAACAGACTGTCGCCACTAAGTGTTGACTTCTATGTTCACTTTTATATATATATATATATATATATATATATATATATATATATATATAAAAATTTCTCAGAGTCAACCTGTAGAAAAGACAATATTTATAAATATAAATGACAATGGGAAAACTGTAGACTTACCAGGTTTTTCCCTATTTCATCTTTCTTAACAGAATTTCTACTCTCCCAAACAAACGTACACAACAATATCATGAAATCAAAAGAAAATGGTTGTTGAATCCGTCAACACAGCAATAATAACAATATCTCCACACGTGACAGTAATTTTCAGTTAACAGTATGAAAATAGCGTTCTCTAAATTCTTCTCAGGACATTTTGCTTTTGTTATTTGTTACTTTGTTTAAATAAATTCTTTTCGTTTTTTTTTTGAGAAAGTCCACATTTGACGAAACGCGTCAGCAACTACAGTTTTCCTATTGTCATATATATATATATATATATATATATATATATATATATATACAATCGAAAAATCTGACAGACAAATGAAACTCATAGTGATTACAAACATGTTTGGAAGAGCGACATAGCTCCATGGTGACCTGCGATTTCTTCTGTGGAACTGCTATCTAATTCTGTAAACTAAAAATAAAGAAACCTGTTTTTCTTTTCGATTCTCAGTTCTGATAAGAATTATTTTAACTTTTTTTTTTTTTTCGTATTGGCCAATCTGATTGAATTCCATCAAATTCCGGGGATGTTTCTGTCCATGCTTCCCTCGGGCTTTTTAACATCGAACGGGGCCAACAATGAAAAGAAAGAATATTGTCCATCTCGGTAATCCGTAAATTCGATCAATGTTTCTTTCTCATCAGGTTTACTGAATGATTGAACTACAAATGCCAATCTCTTGGGATTTTTGTACAGTTTTATGAGGCCACAATGTCTACAATTGTTTCGGAGAAAGAATAACAATTGGATAAGAAGTAACGTTCAACTTTCATATTGTATTAATAAAAAAAAGTCGTCTCGTTTCCCGAGAAATAAAAAGCGAAAGAGGAAGATAAGCGAAAATACAACAAAAAGAAAATTAATCAGTAACACACACGCAGACACAGACGCACACACACCTATATATATATATATATATATATATATATATATATATATATATATATATATATATATATGTGTGTGTGTGTGTGTGTGTGTGTATATCAAGTCCCGTTAAGGTCGTAGGGGTACCAAATGTAATGTGGCCACAATAAGAGAGGTATTTCCTGGACAAGAGAGGCTGACGGAGTCCAAGCTGGTTTTGAATTTTACGTTTTTCCTTCCGCTAGTGTGGTCGGCAACCAAGGCTTTAGGCCCCAGTATGACGTGTAACTTATAATCTAGATGGGTGTGGGAGAAGATAATGATTCATAACTTTTCAAATGATAAGTTAATATAATGAACCCAACTAGAATTCGATCTGGGAGACTCCGATTTCAAAATCCGGCCTGTCCACTAGTCCACTCTAACTCTCTCTTTCTCTCTCTCACACAACACACACACACACACACACACACACACACACACACACACACACACATATATATATATATATATATATATATATATAAATAGATAATAATAGTGGTCAGTATATATATATATATATATATATATATATATATATATATATATATATATATATACTTTTGAATCAGAAAGTATGGTGAATTGGATTGTGATTACGATTCCAATGTAATAAATTATAACCATAGAATATTAGTGTTTGAGCCTTTTATATTATATATATATATATATATATATATATATATATATAAAACACACAGAGATCTATGTGTTAATTAGTAAAGCTTTTACAAATAAATCGATTATATTCACCACCTCATAAAAAATAAAATTGCCTACAAAGCAATGTGCGGATGACTAAGCAAATTTGAAAAGTGGCAGTAATTTTTCTTGTTCATCGACACACTGTGTAGCCGAGAGGCCAAAGCATGCCACATCTAATAAGTCTTTCCCACTAGAAGAACATAAGTTCGAATCCTGCTAGAAAATGCATATTATTTTTTCTAAGATTTCTCGAATATTCAGGCCGGTAGACGAAAATAAAGAAATATACTGTTTAGCGTCTATTTAAGTAAAAGTATCCACTAAAAACAACCTTCATCTGCATGAAACTCCGAGCTCTGTCTCATAAGATTGAGCACTTTATAACACCTTTCGAAGAAATATATTTATTAACATCATCATCATCCGCTTGAGTTTTGTAATCATAGGGCGGATCCGAATGCAGAAGCCACACCAACTCTTTTCCACAACGGTCTATTAACGGTAGCCATCTGGTTCAGTCATACCTATCCATTGTTTGACATTTCCAACCAATGCTTGCGTTGGTGTCCTCACCTACGCCCACCTTCAACTGTGCCTTGCGTGATAGTCTTACACAGGCTGTCATGCCTTGTAATGTGTCCAAACCACGCCATTTTTCTCCGTTTGAAAATGGCGAGAAGAGGTTCCTGGTGTCCCACAAAACTTTCAAACTTTTTCTGCACAAACCCACCGGTTTTAGTATCTGTCTACATTTCTCAAGGACACATGGCACAGTGGATAAAGGCGTTAGTTGCATCCAGTGACAGGACCCAAATAGTGTGAGTTCAATACCCGGCTAAGGCAGTGGAGAACTTTCAGAGGGAAATTAACAGGAGATAACTGATAACTGACATCCATTAAACATGCCACGTGGAACTAGAACAGTCTACCCCAGTGAGCGAAATAAAAGGTTCAGTTCGACATTCCAACCACTTGAATAAGGCCGGAGCTTACAACGGCCGAAATATGAGGACAATACTCCGAATAATGCACATAATACCTCATCTCAGAAATATAGACAGATACTGAAGGGCCGAAATGTTGTAATAAATATGACGACAAAGATGAGGACAATAGTCCGAATAATGTAAATAATGTACATAATACCTCATCTCAGAAATATAGACAGATAGAAAGAGTACGTTGAAATTTCAGTTCGACATTCCAACCACCTGAAGAAGGTCGGAGCGTACAACGGGCGAA